CCGGTCCGACCGGCCGGGTCGGTCCGGGTTTTAAAACACTGGTAGAATTCACTGATACTGATATTTTATTATGTATAATTTTATACATTAAATATTTTATTATATTTATTAAAAATTATAATAAATTATGTGTATAAATAAATAATATATTTATATATATAAGTTATATTTAAAATTTTGAATAAACAAATATTTTAAACATATAAATTATATTTTTTATTTAAGATAAACAATTTATATTGTATTACAAGATTATTTTTATGAGTAAATTATACTTTCTTCTCCTAAGAGATACGAATATTATATTATTCTTTTTTCTTATGTTAAAAATTATAGTACCTTTTTTCGATAAATTCTAATATATGACACTTTACCAATTTTTAAAATTTTGTTAAAAATATATTATTACCAAAATCTCCTTTACACTAACATCTTCCTTAAAGATGTAAATATTACACAACCTGTAACGACTCAACATTGTTAAAATCAAACTTAAGTCTTTAATGAAAATTATCATCTATATAAAGCACAAAATCTATCATGTTAATCACTAGAAACAATAAGTGAAAGCATACTTAAAATCGTGATAATAAGAGAGTTGTGCGGTTTGGCCTTCTAGATCAACATGTATTCTCGCGAGAGAATCCTTTAATTATCTTTCTATCTCTCTCTAATAATGGGATGTCATTAGAAAAGAAAAGAAAAGAATGTCGTGTGATTTGGGAACCTAACCTATTTATAGACAATCATATGGTCTTTTGATATTTCTATTTTAACCCATCACAAAATAAAATTACCTTTTAGTTATGACACGTTAAAGGTTTCATAATCTTTCAGATACATGACTGCTAAAATAATCTATACATCATTAGATCACTTTAATTTGGCATTAACCTTATGTGTTCTTAATATATAATTGTTCACATATAAGGCCAATGTTGGATTAAGGATCCAACAAGCAAGTCACTAAACTTACTATAGCAACGGAAAACATAAACATCTTCTAATCTAGGATTCAAATGCAAGTAGTACCTCATGAAACATATATATATATATGTGTGTGTGTGTGTGTGTGTATATATATATACACACACACACACACACACACACACATATATATACACATACACACACACATATATATATATAGTGCAAAAAACATAAAATAGTCCCTGGAGGAGGCCAGTAACAGCAACTTGCTCACCCTACCACCACCAGGTCACACTTCCAACAGCGCGGACAAGTCCAAACACTGTCGATATCACAGAAACCACGGTCACACCACTGAAGAGTGTTGCACACTCTGAGACCGCATTGAGGAACTCATCCAGGCATGCCACCTCGGCCAATATGTCCAACGACAGCAGGGTCACCGAGGAGGCTATAGTGGACGAGGACGCGACATAGGTTGTGGTTCAGGAGCTCGCACGGACCAACCCTCTGGCTCTCAACAAAATTCCAATGGAGCAGTGCAAGCTGAGGTAAGTCAGGAAACAGGGTCAGCTCCCCTACGGGGAGTAATCAACACAATTGCAGGTGGTTTCGCAGGGGGAGGTGCTAGCAGCTCGGCTCGGAAGAGACACCTGCGCAATATCAACAGCGTCCACTCCACCACCTTGGCTTCGAACCAAAGCTCACCGCCGATCACCTTTACCGACGACAACTATGCTGGCATCAACCCCAACCAGGATGACCTCATGGTCATCGCTGTGGAGGTAGCTAATTGGGAGGTCCACAAAACACTAATCGACCAAGGAAGCTCGGCTAACGTCTAGTATTGGCCGACGTTCCTCAGGTTAGACATCCCTCACTCCCTTATCCAGCCTCACACATAGCCGTTAGTTGGATTCGCAGGCGAAAGAGTTCACACTTGAGGGTACTTGGATCTGTTGACGACCTTCGGGACTTCCCTGGATACGAGGCAGATTATGGTCCGATACCTCCTCGTAGAAGCCAACACCTCCTACAACAATCATTGGGAGGCCGAAGTTGAACCAACTCGGAGCAGTGGTGTCTACCCTGCATCTCACCATGAAATTCCCAGGGAATGGCGAAAAGATCATCTCCATCAAGGCAAACCAAAAGACAGCTCGGCAGTGCTACGCTGAAAGCCTGAAGGTCTCCTTGCTCGACGAGCATCGCCAGAGTGATCCCCCCACAGTGGCTCACATCACCCACGTGGACATCACTGACCTCGATCCGAGGTCTGACTCCCATGATGGACGACCAAGTTCCATCGACGAGCTCGACGACCTCCAGATCGAAAATGAAAATTAGCAGGCAGCTGAGCCCGGAACTACGGCAGCAAATCGAAGTTGAAATCCTCAAGAACACCAACCTCTTTGCATGGTCCAGCACCGACATGCCAGGTATAGATGCTAACTTCATCTGTCACAGGTTAGCAATCCACAAGGAGGGAAGGCCAGTGGCTCAAAGGAAGAGGAAGGTCGGTGGCGAAAGGCGAGAGGCCATCATCACCGAAGCGCAGAAGTTGCTGAACGCAGGCTTCATCCGTGAGGTCAGATACACCACATGGCTGGAAAATGTGGTTCTAGTGAAGAAAAGCTCGGGGAAGGTCTGCATGTGCGTCGATTACACCGACCTGAAAAAAGCATGCCCCAAGGACTCCTACCCTTTGCCGAGCATCGAGAGGCTGGTTGACGGAGCATCCGGGCACGCCCTTCTCAGTTTTCTTGACGCCTACTCCGGGTATAACCAAATCATTATGTACCCACCTGACGAGGTGCATACATCGTTCATCACAGACCACGCCAATTTCCTTGGTTTCATGATTACTAGCAGAGGGATCGAGGCCAACCTGGAAAAGTGCAAAGCCATCATTTAGATGCAAAGCCCCCAGACTGTGAAAGATGTCCAGTGTCTGGCAGGAATGTTGGTCTCCCTTTTCCGTTTCATCCCTAGGTTAGCGGACAAGGCAGGGCCCATCTTCACCCTATTGCGAAAGCCAAAGAACTTCGAATGGACGGACCAATGCGAGGAGGCTTTCAAAAGCTTCAAGAATTTCCTCATTACTCCGCCAATCCTTCATAGGCCAGATCACAAGGCCGACCTCCTCCTCTACCTGGCGGTGGCGAAAAATGCAATCAGTGCGGTCATAGTGCAAGAGCACCAAAAAACACAGACGCTGATCTATTTCATCAGCCGA